TTAATTTATTTTGTTTAGGATTTAGATTATATTGTAAGCCATCCAGAGATGCAAGTGATGGATAGCCTATAAGTGTCCACATAAATACCTTTCAGGCATGGTGTGACATTTGACCCAAAGGGGTCTGTTCAGTGCAGCGAAGGGCCACTAGGATGAGGCTGGTTTGCAGGGGGAGCCATATGAGGAGAGGCTGAGGGAGCTGCATCTTTTCAGTCTTGGGAGGAGGAGACTCAGAGGGGACCTGTTAGCCACATGCAGGCACATGACGGGGTGACACACAGAGGTGGGTCATGACCTTTTTCCCCTGCTGTGGAGGGCAGGGCACGTTCCAGTGGAACAACACTCAGGGAACCAAGATTCAAGGTGGATGCCAGGAAGTACTTCCTGATAGCACCACAAGGGTTGGAATGGGCTTCCACAGGAGGTGGGTGAAGCCCCATCGGTGAGGGTGTTCAAGGACAGGCTGGACATGCACATGACGGGCATGTCGTGAACGGAGCCAGCTGGAGCCAGGGGTCAGACTAGATGGCCCGGGAGCCCTTTCTCACTCACTCTGTTTCTCTGCTTCTAAAAGCAAGGCCCGCTGAGGCCTGAAAGGTACTCGCATGAAAGGGTGTGTAGTTCTCCTACCTCAGCTCTCCCTTTGGAGAGAGCAGGGGCTCTGCTCCTTTTTATCTTCACCCCATGTCCCAAAATGTGCCACTGCTGGAGCTGCTGTGATTCATTCAGAAATCATACCGGGAGGAAGCAGCCTTTTCGTCATGCTTTCTAGAGCTCGATGAAAGGGGAGGCATTGCCTTCCCTCTGGCATTAAAAGAAAGGTTGTTTTCCAAATAACCATCTTGGCATCCGTTGCCTATTTGATCTTACAAAGAGAGGAAGTGAAGCTCAAAGGTGGATAAAGGTTCCCTTAAGTAATCTGAGCAATCGCATTAACTTTTCATGGAATGGTAGATATTCTGAGGCTGACTGTATTAATCTATAGCAGGCACCGCAGGAGAACGAACGCCCCTGTCCTGTGTGAAGGGAGCAGCAGGTGGGGGGCAGCTCTGAAAATCCGCATTTGTCCTTCCTTTCCCTAAACGTTGTCCCTGAGTCTTGGGAAGTTCAGGGTACCTCCTGGAAGGCCATTTTCCTTTGCATAAGAGAGAGGGGGAGAATGAGCACAGGGGAAGGACTGAGCGCGGATTCAGCACAATCCTTTAATTAAAATAAAAGGCAAATCAAGACGGAAAAGAAACACAATTGTGCAGTAAATAGCAGTAAAGGAAACATTGGCACGCTGGTGACGGGTTGCAATAATCTTCCTGACAAAGGCTTTTGTTAGTTTTTGTGCGGGGATGTTGAAGTCAGCTATCAGTGCAATGTGAGCATGGGCGTGGATGTCTCGAAGGGTCTGAGGCAGGGCTGGGGAGCAGCGAAGAGTCAAGCAGATGCTGATGACACTGCCCCAGTAATTGGCGGAGAGACGGCTCCATGATACGGCCCCTCCCCTAACCTTGTTTCTTTGCAATTTTGCTGGTTCTTCACGTGGTGGAGTACGTTTACGTGGTGGGGTAACTCATATTGAACTTGGTGGACTCTTCTTCTAGTCACACTGTTGATCTGTTACTCTGCTGCCTCTCTCTCACACACGCAGGCATGAGATGCATTTTAAACTTTTGGGTCTGCATTCAAACAAAGCAAAGTGCAAGGAGGGGCTTGCAGGGCATTCTTCTTTTTTAAAAGTCAAAATGGAAAACATCTTTTCTGTCAGTGATCCATAGTTGCAAATAGGGTCGCACTGGATAGCGACTGTGACTGTGCATTTTTATCAAGTCCACTCCAATCTCTTCAAGCCCTTAAGTTGGAGTGGGATTTATTTCACATTGCAGCTCTGGAATAAATTGAGCTGCTGAGTTGAGTAATTCTGCCCACTTTGTGAAGTGTGCTTTCCCAGAATTCATCTGGGGCACAAGTCTATGGTCTGGGGTGCTATAAGATTCTTTGGAACCTGAACCCCAAGATCCTGCGATTTCAGGGCAGGGAGTCTGAAGGCTGAGCTGCTGCCTGCCCCTTTCCTGCAGATGGCAAGAGAAGAACCACCCTGGTTCCCATCCCCCAAAGCTGCAGCTGCTCCTCAGAGGGGGAAAAGGGGGCATGCTGGGATAATTCCCATTGGCATCCCAGCTCCTTCCTTCCCACTCCCCAGCACAAACTCTGGATGCTCAGTTTCAGCCACCTAGAGAAGATACCAGGTGTGAGGTCCTGCACTGGTAGAAACATCACTGCTGTGCCTCATTCCTGGCATAAGGGGAGGGCACACGCCTCTGAGTTGGGAGGCTGACAGCATCTAGGGCACAGGACTGCATCCTTAATCACTGTTATGGGGCAGCTCCCTGCTGGAGTTGGAGGAGGACGTCCTTTAAGACAAGCAGCCACTTGACTTTTCCCAAAGTTCAGAGAGCACCTTGGAGCAGGACTTCCTGGGGGAAAAATGGCAGCTTCTCAAATTCTCTTCCACCACAAAATAAGTTTGCATCATCCCCCCTCTCCCAAAATAGCCAGATCATAACAGCCTGTTTCAAGTAGGTGAACTGGGCCTTTTCTATGTGGAACTCTGCTTTAAAGGCCTTCCATAGTTACAATAATTATTCAACTGAGAACTTCCGTGGATAAGGCCATAATATAGATTTTGTACTATGTAGAAAATTGGGCCATTACACATTTTGTTTGACAAGAGATCCTTCCCAGTAAATGATTATTCAGAATAACTTTATATTTTGGTCAAATCTTTCATGTTTTATAATGGAGGTAACAGGATAAGTATTTCCCCCTGGGAAACTGCAAGACTTTTTCTGGAAATAGCAGGGAAAAACAAGACATTTCAGTGCTAACTAACAATTATCTGTTCAATACTGTCTTGAACAGTCCAGCTGTAATAATAAAAAAACTAGCTGCCACCAAGGACTTTTGTACACAAGGCACTTGTGGCACCTGCCATTCCCTGCTCACTGCCGTTCAGATTCTTTAGATGACATTGTGACCTTCCGTTTTGCCTCTGTATGTAAACAGCATTTGCTACAAGTTTTTTAGAACAGAGGGGAAAAAGCATTATTTTTGATTCTGAAAGAGCAATTTGCTCTGGTGGGTTTGCGCTAATTCACCATGTCACACTGCCATCTAGAGGTTAAGTGGCAGAACAGCAGAAAAGGAAATGCTTTTTATGCAGCACTGGGAGCATTTCCTTTCTTGCTATTCTGCATCAAAACCTGACAGCAATGCAGTGGATTGACAGCCTCGTTTAGAAAAGCCCAGGGTTATCTTTTAACCAGAGATGATAATGCAGATCATAATGATAATTACTGCCTGAAAGCAAACTGTATCATTACTGAATCTAAGAGCTGCAAAAGGGCGGTAAAAGTACTTGAATGGAGCAGCACTGGGAGGAAGCATTCTGCCATGAATCCTCTGGGTAACTGCAAACTGCAGTAAGATACAATAATAACAAATATCTACACAACTATATATAATTAGAGAGCCAGTGTGGCGTAGTGGTTAAGAGCCTGGGACTGGGACTCAGACGATCTGGGTTCTAGTTCCCGCTCGGCCATGGAGCCAACTGGGTGACTTTGGGCCAGTCACAGGCTCTCAACCCAACCTACCTCACAGGGTTGTTGTTGTGGGGATAAGATGGAGGAGGAGAATGATGTAAGCTGCCTTGAGCCCTTTGTAGGAAAAAGGCAGGATATACATCGAAAAATAAATAAATACCTGCTTGCACCACTATACAAAGGCTTTGGTGTATAGCTAACTAACTTTATAACATAATCCAATATCTACTGAACAGGCTTGTCTTGAAGTGCTAGTGCCGTAACAACCATAGACAATAAGCAAAATGTTCAGTCATGAATGTAATGCTCCAGTTTGTGGGAAATCTTACCTTTAAATGGGCTTAGGACAGAGGGGCGGAAAAACCCAGATGGCTGAGGCTGCGGTAAGGCTGAACGCCATCATTTATTTTTAATTACTCTTAGTCTGGTAAGGACCAAGATAAGTTGGAAGTGGCTCCTTAGGTCACCTCTGCTAGTCAGAGAAGATGCTGGCCTTACACTGTCCAGTCTAGTTCACTCTAAAGTGTAGGAGAGGGATGGAAAATGTTCTGACTTGTAAATTATGGATGGCACAATCTAATGGCCCCGAATTAACGTCTGGGCAGCCACCTGATTTTTCAGATTACCACCTAGGAGAAAGGAAAATCCTCACAGCAGGGGATCTGCACGCGGATCCTCCTCCCCAGACCTTGCAGCTGGCATGGAAAGAATCCACCAGCTGCTTCTCCAAGTGCATAGTGGTGACCTCAGGGAAGGGCTTTTTGCTAGCATTGCAGCAGGAGGGGTGGGAAGGAGACCGGTGCCCCCAGAATGCGTTTTCTGCTCTGCCTCAGCCACTCTCCCTACCCAGGCCAACCATCTAAGAGGTTTACGAAGAAAGTGGCACTCCTCCAGGCCTCCACAGGATCCCTACAACTCTCCAAGTTTGGAGGGTTATGTCATTCCCACAGGACTGCACCCTGAGTAATATCTCTGTAGCATATGGATAGCATCGAGGCTGTTGCTGCATTTGCAAATATGTCTTTGTTGCATGCAGTCATTTAGAAGAACGAAAATTAACTCCACGCTTTCCTCGCCTGCGTTCGAATCCCAAATGCCCCGTCCTGTACCATAAATTGCATACTGTGCTTTTTAATTGAGCGGGTGAGCATACCCACCACCTGCTCAGGAATGCACTACAGAGCATTGCGTTAGAACTGCTGGCACTCCTGATGGGCTGCTAATGGCTTGCATGGCAAGGCAGCAGGTCCAGAAATCAGCTATGCCACCAACTGAGTAAAGACACCAGAGGAGGTTGCACTGCTCACTTTATTGTGGTGTAAGATCTAAGCCTGAGCCACATGGTCCTTGATCCTCCCCTCTGCAACCCCCACGCCCCTCTTCCAGCAGCATCAGGTGCTCAGCAGGTCACTTCTGTAATGACTCCAGAGGAAGGACTTCAGAGACATCTCCACGGAGCTCCTGCTTGACTTTGAAGCTGCCGTGAGAAAGTAAAGGAAAAGATGGAGAGCACTTCCTGCCATGGAACGGGACTGAAGGAAAATCAACGGGGGTGAATTCCCATCATGACTCCTCATATGGAGTCCTCATGGGGCCATTAAATCCAGCATCTAAGACAAGGTGGCCATGGAACATAAAAGTTCCCTGCGGGGTGGTGTCCTCTGCCTAAAGTTCCCTGCGGGGTGGTGTTCCCTGCCCCTCTGCCCTCTGCCCAGCGAAAGCCTGGCTTAAAATTAAGGAGCCAGACTTGAGAAGGCAAATTAGGGGCATGGAAAGTTGCCTGTTGATGGGCAGCACCTTGAGGTCAAACTGAGCAGGCACTGTGGTGGCCGCCTTCCCCACCATGGGGAGCGGTCCTTCTGTTTCATTCAGACCATTGCTACCATGCTCCAACTTTCCTGTGCGTTAATTGGGGTGTCGATGTTGCTGTTCGTATCTCAACACACAGGACAGCCACCCGTGGGCTGCTGCCAGTGGACACCGGCGGCTGCAATGTGCAATGTACACTCCCTGGCAGGGGAGCTACCCCTTGGCCCCGCCTGGATTCAGCACCATGGACAGCCCCCTTGAAGTCCATGCTGCGACCCAGAGCGGGGCACTGCAGCACTAACGGTGGGGTCACCGGTGCCCACGGACCACCGCCCCTTCTCATCTCCGGCCCTCCATGGTCCTCTGGGAATGCCTTGTTCTGCTTGCTTAGAAGTGATGGGCTCTGTGCTCCGGACTCAGCCTGCAAAGCCACCAGGAGCATGGGGGCGGTGGGAGGAGGAACGTGAGTATGGCCGAGGAGGGCACTGGGGACCTCACTGGGTTTGTGATGGGCAGATCCACCTTCCGGCCACAGAAGCAACCTGGAGAGATTAAGCTCTGAGACGTGGGGCGGGCGAGGCTGCTTCAAGTCTGGCATAAATCTGTGGCCAAGCCAGTTTGCTGGGGGTGGGGGGGGTGTTCCACGTCAAGGTGGCATATATATGGACAAAGAGCATTGAAACGTATTGTTATACAACAGGGGTGTTGAACATCAGGACTAGAAGCCTCACCCCCGTCCTCTGGCACCTGCCCTGTTGTGGGTTTCCAACCCTTGCGGGCAAAAAAGGCAGGACAGAAATATCATGAGTGAGTAGACGAGGACTCCACCTTGCCTCCCGTGGTCTCACCTTTGCTTTTCCACGTCCTCTACCGTCTCCGGCAGCTCAGCGTCTAAGGTCTCGGGCAGCAGGAAGGCAGTTGAGCCACAGAGGACGGCCAAGGCGCAGTACATCACCTGCGGCAGAGGCTTCCATAGGCTGTCCAGCAGGAAGACAAGGGGAGCCACAGACCCACCGAGTCGCGCCATGAAGGAGCAGTAGCCCTGTCCGTTCTGCCTGAAAACAAAGGGGACAGCTGCTGACGGGAGGCAGGCCGCGCAGTGCTGGGGTGAGCTCTCTTGCCACCTGAAGAAGGATGCGCAGGCGCTTCTGCCAGCCGCCATCGCCACCCCCCTACTCCCCCCCACCCCATATGTCCCTCTCTCTCTGCTTACCATATTGCCACCTCCACTGGCTCCTCTGCAAGATGGCGCCCTCCACAGAGCAGTGCTGGTCAGGAAAGTTGCCCATGCAGCTCCTCAGAGAGGCAGCCGGGCCTAGACTCCTGCCTCTAAGGGTCCTTCCTTACAGCCAGGCATTGTGGGAGGAGGAGTGTCCCTGGAGATAGCCTGTGGCCCAGCTCTCCCTGAGAGGACCCACAAATGGGCAGCGGCCACAGGGTGGGTAGAGCCCTTCTAGCCAGGCATACCTTTCCCACTGGAGCCGTTGGTGCACGTGAGGCACGCAAGCAGGGTGTGAGCGCTCGCACTGAGAGGAGTGCTGCCTCCAAATGGCTAATAGTGATCATTGCATAATTAGGGTGTGCTGAATGTTTGCTTTATTTTTAGCAGGATATCATCCGAGTAAAGAAATATTCATCAGACCATTGATGTATTTACAATGTGATCCCCCTGCAGCAGAAGCACTTCCATCTCCGAATTCAGAGGTTTACGAGCATCCGATGGTGGGAGTGAGGTCTGGCAGTCCTTACCTCTGGGGAGGGGGATAGAAGACAGCCGAATGCTGATGGGTACTGGCATAAGCACTCAGCACTAGCTTCCTCCTCTCCCTGGGCCCCCAGCCCACCCCTTTTTGCTTTCTCTAAGGCCCAATTGTGGCTTCACGGGGGTGGGGGGGGGGCAGTAGCTTGTACAGAAGGGTGGGGCAGGGGTCCGGGATCTGGGTGCTGGGCCTCCGAAATATCCTATGGCCTTCCAGATGAGTTTGGGAAGCCGTAGGATTGTACTTTTCACAATATAGTAAGCTTGCACATTGGTCGAAGTAATGACTCCAAATCAGGAGGAGTTCCTATAGATTAATCTGATGGATCATTCAGTTCAACAGTACTTATTTATTTTATCTGTGCACTTTTCTCCACAAGGCTTTTCACCCACCTCCCTACTGAGGCTTCTGTGTCTGGATTCTTTGTGAGATTAAAATCAGCTCCTTGACATGCGTTTTCCCTCAATGTTTTCTTTCTCTGCCTTTCTATACGTACACAATCACTAGGTGTCCCTGTGGAATTGCAGAATTGCCCCAGAACACCAGATTGGCATGTCGCCATTCAGGGATAATACCAGAGTTTCCTCGACTGAACAAAGCCACAGAAATGCTTGCAAAAAGTGGGAGAGGCTCTTCAAGAAGGCGACATCATGGGAAGCACCCTCACATTTGAGCAAGGACACACAAGCGCACGACAAATGCCTTGTGTAGAAAGGCTCCAAAGGATGGCGAAAAGCAACATCTCAGAATATGTTAGTTTGGGGCAGCACCGACTACAAATAGGCTATGCCAGTCTGGTGCCTTCCAGAGGTGGACTACACCTCCCATAATCCCCAGAAAGCAAGCACATCTGGGGAGCAGCAGGCTGGGGAAGGTTGGACTAGAATCCAGGGCAGTGGAACAAGCATCACAAGAATTCTGTTGGATCTGACCCAAAGCCCACTTAGGCCAGTAGCCCAGGGCGGCAAGTGACCAGCTATTCCCAGCTCCTAGGGCTCTCCCTCTTACCTGAGGACTGTGGGAAAGAGCTCTGCGGTGTACAAGAAGACCAACGTAAAGGATGCTTCAGACAACCCTTTGCCAATGATGGCAACCACAGAGCGCAGCATCCCCAGCCCTGGGAGGAGAAACAGGACACTCTAAGGAGAGGGAAAGCGGCTGTGGACTTTCCCACTGTGCCCCCGGCCCGCACTGCCTTGGTGGCCCACGCCCGTCGCCGGCACCTTTCAACTGGCCCCCTGTTAAAAAGGCTCAAGGACCCCTGCTTTAAACCCTTTCCAAGTGGCCGGAGAGCCCACTGCCCCAAGGGCCGCAATCCTCTCCTGAATGACACCCTCCCGCTTCTGTCCCCCAGCAAGTGGGAGCAAGAGACTTTCTGGGGAGAACACCTGGGCATTGTGACCAGCGGCTGGTGATCGCCTTGCCCTCCAGTGCTGCCGCCCCCGTTTGCCTACCCCCCCTTCTCTGGACGAGGGAGTGAGGACGAGGTGTGCTGGTACTCTGTTTCCTGCTCGTCACTGGCCGGCTTGCTGAGAGCAGGTGAACCAGCAGAAACAGTGAGGAGGAGTGGGAAGAGCAGGGTGAGGCATTTCCAGGGATTGGCAGTGGTGCCCCTGCAGGAGAGGCCTTGGCGCATGCCCCCGAATGCTGCCTTCTGCTGCTGGCCCTGAACTAAACGAATAGCCCAGAGAGGGCACAGGAAAAGCAAGGCTTTCCCTGCAGGCACTCTCAGGGTCAACAGCAACCATTCTGCTTCAGGACTCTCCAATGGGAAGGTTCGGGAAAAGAAAAACTGTGCCTGGAAACTTGGAGTTTTGCTACCAATCAGAGGAGCCAATATGAGGTAGAATGGGGAGACTCTGGAGGAGCACATATTCTGCAGACAGAACATCCCAACTCCAGTCTCTGGTATCTGCAGGTAGATCTGGGAAAGTCCCCTGCCTGGAAACCTGGAGAACTGCTAACCATCGTGATTGGGTTCAGATTAACAAAATAACCCAAGCTCAAAGGTTTCGTCATGGGTTGTTCATGGTTACAACCCTTGTCTGAACCCAAGCAATGGCTTGGTAACCATGAACAACCCATGACGAAACCTTTGAGCTTGGGTTATTGTGTTAACCCACACAATAACCCTTTGTTGAAACAAGGGTTAACAAAAACCCATGGTTGAGCAACAACCTTCACTCAACCCATGCTCAAGCCTGTTGTCCGAACTCAGTCAGCATCAACAATACCAAGCTAGACACAGCATTGCAATGACGTTGCCCAGAATCCATCCCTCTTCAGTTCACAGACTTCCTCTTGTCCTCAACCCAGTCTCAGAAAGCAAGCTGACCTGGGAGAAAGTCCATGAACATTTGCAGAAGTCCAGTTTGCAACCAGTGACTTTCACACATGCAGAGCAAACAGATGATGAAAATCCTGCACAAAGAAGCAGGATGCTGTGTGTGCGCCAGTCACACTGAGCTCCATTCTGGCAAACGTTGCATGAACCCTGGGTGTGCTCACCAAGAAGTTGAACTCACGGCTGCGAGACAACAGGCCAGAATCCAGGAATCTGATGGATTCCCACCCTGAACATCCTCAGCTAGATGTACCAATACGTTGCCATGATGTAAAACAGCTTCCCATGATGTGGCTGAATTCATATCATATCTCTGTACTGAGTGGAAGCTTATTTGTATTGATTTCCATTGCTTGTCACACTGTTCTTTTAGAAATAGAAGAACAAACAATATAAATATATAAAATATAAACAAACAATGCATATATAAAAGCAACTCACCTGTTGGGATGACAATGTTGGCTCCTACACATAAACCTGTTAGGATGAGGCTCCAGGCTTGGCTCTGCCTCCGCCCAAATCGATTCGCCGTGACAAACACAATTGCCTTGGCAGGAAGCTCAATGATCCCAAAGACAAACTGGGTCATGTACATTCCCAGGCCAAAACCAGTGATGTCCATGCTTATGCCATAGTAGGAAAAGGCCGCCCCAAACCTGAAAGGGAGGGAGGTAAGCATCCAGAGCGGGCGCGGTTGGGCAGCAGTCGAGGACCCCCTGGAGTTGCTCCTCCTCTTCACCGCTGCGTCTGTTCACTTGCCCACTTCTTAGTGTGGCCCAGACAACAGCGGTGGGGAGAAGGAAAAGCATCCGATGCCGTGGCTCACGAGCTGCTTGGCTCCGTCTCTGTCTGCCAGGCAAGCAAGAGGATGCGAGGAAGGGTGAGGAGCAAGAGCAGCCGGTGGGTGTGGTGGTGAGAAGGTCAGTTTATTTATTTATTTTTTGATTTATATCCTGCTTTTTCCCACAAAGGGCTCAGGGCAGCTTACATCATTCTCCTCCTCCATCTTATCCCCACAACAACACCCCTGTGAGGTAGGTTGGGTTGAGAGTCTGTGACTGGGCCAGAGTCACCCAGTTGGCTCCATGGCTGAGCAGGGACTAGAACCCAGATCCTCTGAGTCCCTGTCCCAGGCTCTTAAGCACTACGCCACACTGGCTCTCCACAATTCAAGGGTGACGTGCCTCAGGGCCATGAGTTTTCCCGTGGATAAAATACAGAAATATCTGTCTGCAGCTCCATCTTCCTGGGGCTTCAGTGGAAGGTGCCGGTGGAAGCCACGTACAGGGCCTGTGGGCAAACAGCGCCTCACATGATTGGCCCCTGTGCAACTGCTGCCCAGCAGCTGCTTCTTGTGGCAAATGCCAGGGGAAGGGGATCTCTTGTCAGTAGGAAAGGAAGCACAGACCCACCCCTTCCACCTCCGTTTCCCTGGAAGCTGCTCCTCCACCCCCAGGTCTGAGGGCCCTCCAAAACCTTGAGCCAACAGTGAGCTGTGGTGCAAAACCATCAGACCTGGAGCCCAGCCCAGCCTCCCAGGGGCCTTCGCTTGCCCCCCTCGGGTTCCCCAAGTGGTCACGTCCCCTTCTGGTCACCACACCCTTTCCCTTAACCAACTATGGTTTGGTGGTTTCCCAACTTTTGTGCTATCCCCCCTCTCCTAAGAGTGAATTATAGGAAGAAAGAGTTTTAAGATGACACCGACGGCCCATTTTGGCTTCTGCTGCTACTGGAATGCAGCTGCCATAAACCTCTCCATAATGGCATTCCTTGTGCAAAGGGGGTCCAGACTCAGACAGGACAGAAACCCATGCATGGCAGGGGGTGGACAGGGGAGAGAGAGAGAAGAGACCGGCTCACCACACAGTCCCCATGCAGAAGGAGATCTTTCTTAGCATCGGTGTTCGGAAAAGAGTGACGTAGGAATAAGTTCTCCCAGATGCCTGCACTACTGCCTCAGCTGTCTTGCTCAAGATCTGAGGAAGGAAAGTGAGGGTTTAGAGAGGCTGCCTATAGATCACCAAACAGAGAGGAACTGCATCTCCCCAAAAGAGGGCACAGATTCGCACAAACATGCTGATGCTAATTTACATGCATAGGTGCAATATTCTAAAATAGTTGTGATCACTTAAATTGCAATGCCATTCATCTTGCCACAATGCGGGGGGGGGGGGTGACCCAGTGACCTGTGCGCTCGCTCACCCCATGGACGGGCACATTCAAGGCCCTCGCTGCTCTGCCTTCTTGTGGAGGCTCTTGGTCTTTACGATGAACTGGGCTAGGCAGCCCTTTGAACAGTCCTCTGTGGAGTAGGGCGCAGGGCCACCGTACTGGGTTTACACAATTCCATTCTGTAGCATTAACAACATATAGGGTTGTAGAAACCTTTGCAGCAAAAGCCAGGGATGCAGAAAACCAGGAGCAGAAAAGCTGCATCCCACAATTTAAATATATTGAGTGAAGAATCGATCTAGTTCAGATTCTGTGTGCATGTTGCATCATAGTCTTGGCAGGCCTTGAATTGTGTTTGTTTACAGGTCTTGCTGTTTTAAAGGGGGCTGGCTGGCTGGCTTCATCTAAATTCTTCTACCTTCTATCCACCATGAAGACCCCCTCCAAGGCAGCTCACAAAGAAATTTTAAACTACATATGCAATAAAATCCCAGTGATCATATACAAATTATTAGCAGGAGTTTTAAGGCAATGACTGGAAACAAAGGAAAACCTCCACAGAAGCAGGGAAGGAAAAACATGATCTAAGTCAATCCAAACACCTGGCAAAACAAAAATGCATTTATAGATGACCCAGGAGCGGTGCTGCATTCCAAAAAAGACCCTGGACCACAGGACAAAACACACTCACACAATTCCATGTAACTTCTGTGTGTGTGTCTTTAAAGGATGCTATCTCCTAAGGACATCTCTCTTTGGACAAAGGGATGTACAGAAAGAAAGAAGAGGGCATTTGAATTCAGAAGAGAACTCCTGCAGAAAGAGTTAAGGGATACAAAGCAGAAGGGCAGAAAGACAAGCAAATCAAGGAATCCGGTGCAGCAGATGGGCAGAGGCCCTGAACTTTTATTTCAGCGAATGTCCTTGACCAACAAGGGCTTGAGGCCTAGTGCTTCATCCCCTAACGCTGCCTCTGAGTTCACCTAAAGCCAGGCAGTCCACTTCTGGGGTGCAGGAGACAAATTCTTCTGCAAAGCCCAGCATGGGGGCACACTTTATTCATTCATTATATTTAAGCCTGCAAGGAACTCCAGGCAGCTTACATAATGTACCTCCTCCTCTCAATCTTATCCTTAGGAGAACAGGCTGTGAGCTGAGTTAGGCTGAGGGCGAGAGACTGTTCCAAAGTCACTCAGTGGCTATGTGGGGACTAGAACCCAGATCTCCTGAGTCAGAGGTTCATGCCACACTGGCTGTCACACTTGTCCTCCTCCTCATTGCTGTCCTCACCACTGACCTGTGCTCTGCCACAGTCCAGCATCCATAAGGCGGGGTGAGGAACTGGCCCTATTCCGCTTTGGTGCCTCCAGATTCCACCAGCAAATTCAGCCGAGGAAGGGGGTGCCCAAAAGGCTCAGTACTGGACATATCCTGTGAGCAGTGTACTGTCCAGGACTGACCAACAGGCTGAGAAAGGGAGGACCCACCAGGTTTCTCAAGATGTGGCCTCTCGGTGCAGGACTGAGCCAAGGTGTTGGTCTATCTGAGATGAAGGACGAGGTGGCGCCCCCTTTGCAAAAGTTGAGTGGACTGATGGTTGAGCCTTATGTCACCTTTGGCATCAGGAGGTCTTCTGGAAGAGCGGTCCGCACGGCACACCCCGCTGCCGCCCCAGCAGCTGCGCCACCTTGCCTACAAGAGCCCAGTCTGGTGGGAGAAGTGCCAAGGAACTGGCGCTCACAGCCGCAGCCCAGATTCTGGCCCACCGATTTTACATCCACGATATCCAAAGGCAGGCATGGTTGCTTGCTGCAACCAGATGGTTTTTGTGGCAGTCGGGGGCATGGAAAGCCTGGCCAAGACCATCTCTTTGTTCCTAGATTCGGATGCCTAGACCCACCTCAGCGTTAATTTTGGTGGCAAACTCCTTCCTCTTGTTCATGTTGGCGCACCTTTGCAAATGCCTGTGAGCTTCCTTATGCCTTCCATTTGCCAACAACCACCTGGCAGACTCGGAGAGCCACCTAGCAGAAGGGGAGAGGAAGCAGAGTCATTTCAAAACTCCTAGCCACACTCCTCCTCCTCATTCTCAGAAGAAATATTTGCATAACGGACAGAAGTATTCAAGGCACCTTCTTGCAACCTCAACAGAAGCACTTTTAAAGAAGTGGAAGAATTATCCTCACATTTCAGGATGGAAGGAGGGAGCTAAAAACAGTTTAATGCTTCCCCTATTTAAGTGGGTCTCCAGCACTTCAACATGGATTTGTCTAAAGACTCAGTGGCCACATAAACTCTTTCAACCTCAAGAAAGTAGTAATGATACATTTTAAAATACAGGCACTCATCATGGCAGTCTCCATAGCAAAGACTCCAAAATTCAGGCAGCTGTGTTGACTCATATAAGCAGAGCATCCCTAGCTGTTTCCCTCCACTTGGAGAGGCATCCCTCTTTATCCCCCACCCCACCCCACCCCACTGCAGTTGCTATCAGGATTACACCTGAATTCAGAGGGAGCCATGGATTCTGAGGGAAGTGGCAGCTGAGGGGACCGTCCCTGCTGATAAAGAGGTGCTGGTGCTTCATCCCTGTGAGCCCCAGTTCCACTACACCACCAGCCTCAAGCGGAAAGCAGATTTGCAGGTCCTTTGATTGATCAGGAGAGCAAATTCTGAACTGCAGGGTATGCTTCCCACTACTCTCGCTATAAATGGCATATTTATAACAATCAGACTGCATGGCACACGCCAATCCAAGTCACTTTCTTCTGACTATTTTAAGTAAAGAAAGAAAGAAATTGGGAAGCTGAGAACTTGACGCTGGAGTGGTGGGTGAAGATCAGTTTTTAACTGCTTCCCTCTTGGCCATTTTTTATGCTCCAAACTGAGAGCCAGTGTGGTGTAGAAGTTAAGAACACGGAGCTGGGACTCAGGTGATCTGGGTTCTAGTCCTCACTTAGCCATGGAGCCAGCTAGCTGACCCTGGGTCAGTCACATACCCTCAGCCCAACCCGCCTCACAGGGCTGTTGTTCTGGGGATAGGATTGTGAACAGCAGCAGGAGAAGCCACTTTGAGTTCATAAGAAAAAAAGTGGGATATAAATCTTATAAATATATAGCCCTCCAGTCATATAGTGGCCACTGGGGAATATGTCGAGTACCCTCCCTGCCTGCAATCCGTCTTTTAATGACACACCTCCCAAATCTGTCTTTTATTCTAATTAAAAAACAACAACAACAGAATCCTGAGAGAAAGCGATGCATATTTGCATGTGTCTTATTATTTGTCTCCAGCAGCCTTCCATTCATGGTACTTGTCCAAGAACCGAAGTGTTAAAATTTGTATGCAGCATAGAGACAGATTAAACCTGCAGGATATGAGTGCAACAACACCCTCCTGCCCATGCTCCCCAGCAACTGGTGCTTCTGATGCTGAAGGCAGCACATGGTCATCAGGACTAGTAGCCATGGGTAGCCTCCTCCTCCATGATTTTGTCCAATCCCCTTTTAAAGCCATCCCTTTTGGTGGTCGTCACTGCATGCTGTGGAGGTGAGTGCCATAGTTAACTCCATGCTTTGTGAAGAAGGGTCTATTTTTATCCATTCTGAAGCCCACCCATCCACTTCTTGGGGTGACCCCACTGGGTTCTAAGTCCATGAGGGAGTGAAAATCCCAGCAACGGTGAGCAGTCACTGCAGCTTTTTCTTGCCATGGCTAACAGATTCTCTGCACCCCTGGACACCCCATGGGCTGTGAGTGGCCTGTTCACCTGGAATACTGTGCCCATTTCTGGGCACCAAGATTTAAGAAAGATGCAGGTAAATTAGAAAGGATCCAGCAGAGGGCAACACAAATGATCCAGAGTTTGGAAACACTGCCCTGTGAGGAGAGACTGAGGGAACTGGGCATGTTCAGCCTTGAAAAGAAAAGACTGAGGGGGGACATGGTATCCCTCTATAAGTACCTTAAAGGCTGTCACAAAGAGGAAGGTCAAGATCTCTTCTTGCTTATGCCACCCAGTTTCAGGCTGGACAGCAGGAAGAGTTTCCTCACTGAGCAGTACGACAGTGGAACCAGCTGCCTAGGGAGGTGCTGGGCTCTCCCACACTGGAGACATTCAAAAACAAACTGGGCAGCCATCTGAGTGGGATGGTGTAAATTAGTGTCCTGAAGCAGCAGGGAGTTGGACCTGATGGCCTCCATGGCCCCTTCTAACTCAGCTATTCTATGATTCTGTGATAGCAACAAGCCGCCCTCATGGGTTGCTCCTCTCCTGAGAGGTTGCAGTGACTGCCCACTGCAGCTCGGGTATTCACAACGGCTTCCAGCACATGCCACAACCCACTGTGGCTCTTCGAATGCTGTGTTTGTGCGAACCAGGATTCAGCCTTCCTATCTGTAACACAGGTTGTGGTTCAACCTGACATTTATTCAGTTCTTGGTAAACCATTCTTGCAGCATTATTTATAGAAGGAACCAGGCAGTGTGGAATCAACATTGTGTACAACCTTCTGGATCACTGACTTCCAGTTTATATCAAACACGCCAGACACAAATGAACTCTCTTCTCTTAATGTGTACTGATTTCCCTGACCTTTCCAGGATATGTGCCCCCAGCAAAAAGTGGTTGTCCTCATGGAAGCCCTCTCGATGTCCTTGGCTCCCTTAGCTGCTGTTGTGTAACAGCCAGTGTGGTGTGGTGGTCAAGAGCACAGAGCTGGGACTCAGGCAATCAGGTTTCTAATCTCTGCATGGCCGTGGGGCCAACTTTGGGTGACTTTGGCCCAGTTGCAAACAGGTAGAAAAATATTTTATGAGGCATTCAGTAAATCTGATACATGAATAAATGACCAGCTCATGCTGGGATGAGATGGCCGGAAGTCATGGAGAACCAGCGATGTCCTCTTCTCTGAGAGAATTCCGCACAAGCTGCCACCCACCATGTAGAAACAAGTCCCACCGCACAAGGCAGAGTGACGGCAAGCAGCAGCCAACGCCAGTCCCGCACCAGGTAGGCGATCAGAGCCAGAAGCATATTCCCCAAACTCCAGAAGACGCTGGTCAGGATCCCAGATAAGGTGCGGTGCTGTATATCCACCCATTCCATGCCTGGAACATAGAACCACCCCCAACAGCGTCATCTCTGTGGGTGCCTGAACAGACAAGGTTTAAATCCACGGTACACAGACGGCAAGTTGCAGGCGTGACATGCCTTCATCTAAGCTTCCCCTGACAGAGCGGCTATCGGTTGGGCATAGTCGGGCAACTGCCATGGGCCCACCTCCCAGCAGGGTCCCAACAACAAGAACCACTTGGACTTGTTCCTCTTCTTCACCCATCCTCTTCTCCAGCAGCCTCTCCCTCTGGCCAAGGGAAGAGAAGAGGAAGGTGAGGAAGAGGAGCAGTTGACGCCCTGGCCTGCTCGCTCCTGGCCTCCTTGCCTATCGAGCGAGCAAGTGGCAGTAGTGGTGAGAAGGCACAGCCACCGCGGAAGGGGACACCGGGGAAGCCTTGCCCAAAGGCCTCCAGGCCCTGACTGGGCAATTCCATCAACCTCCTCTCCCAAGTGGCTGTCCATGGGGGGCAAGAAGATGCAGATTGGACCGGGGCTCTTGACGGCAAGCTTTTGCCCCCTGTTCCTCTGTGGCAACCCCCTTCTTTCACAGATCAGTTTTCTTGCCTCTCTGACCATCTCAGTGCTCTCTCACTCCTGTATCTCCCAAGATAAACTGTGGGGCCTCTATGTCTGAGCAGATTGGTTGTCCAATAAATACTTCTGGGCCAGGAATGTCACGCTTTTGCTCCGGGCACCATCAACCTCCCCCTCTTCTTTTTAGACCTTGCATAGCTAAGCTGTCCTTTTCCCCATAGCTCACCCCATGTAGCCTGTAGTTCCTCCCTTTCCAGGCCAAGTCATGCCCCTAATAGATACATTATGTACCCCTTAGGACTGGAGCAGAGGAAAGGAGGATGGAAGGAAGTTGCCCAAACCCCTCTGCAACTTTTTCCGCTCAGGCTGCTAAGGCAGGCACTGGCCTCCAGGGCCAAAGCTGACCTTTGCACTTGCTCAGGAATGGCTCCTTGTAGCAGCTGGAAGGAAATGATCCTGGGACCAGCTCAGCTGCAATGCCCATTGATTGTATCAGGAGTGCCTTATACAGAGGCTCGCCTTTCTGCCATCTGCCCCCCTGCTGTTTAACAAGTTTCAGGCTGAGGTCTCTCCCAGACCTGCTACCTGATATCCTTTAACTGGAAATGCCAAGTTTGGAAACTTGGACTTTATGTAGTTTATGTACCCATGCAAAATGTGGCCCTCGCCTATGGGAGATGATAACCATGGGAAAAGGACGCAGGTTTCAAGGCCTCGCCACTGGCCCCTATTCCATCTCCCAGTGTTTCTTGAGCTGTTGGCTGATTTTTGCAAACACTGCCTGTGCATTCCCAGATCATAAGAATCAGAACCCTTTCTTCCCTTTTTGCAAGACTGTCAACATTTCCAATTCCTTCCTTGATTCAAACTTGCAAAGGAAATTGTGGACCTCTGGACACCTCCCCGTATATATTTTCTGCAAAGGTTTCCGCCTCTACACCACAACTTCTTAGAGGCATCGCTTGAAACACGATGGCACTTACCCAGGGGCACCACGATGAGGGAGAGGCCACAAATGGCCATCCCCGTCAGGGCCCGAGTGACCACCAGCATGCTGTAGGTGACCGAGGCGGAGCTCACAATTCCAAAGACCAGGGTGCACACGTACGAAACCTGGAGCATGCGCTTCCGGCCAAACCTGCCATGCCAGAAAGAAAGTGTTACTTGTGCAACAGAAGAGATCACCAGCAGCCGTCCCTGAGATGTTCTGAGAGCACGTGGCCAGTACAAGGATGGGGCTTGTGTTTAACAGTTTGCTCAGAAGAGAAGGGAATACCTGGATGAGCAAAGGTGATGCTTGACCTGAGAGCAGCATGTCATAGTAACTTACTACTATTACTAAGTAATTAATAATAGTAAGCTACTAAGGTGAGAACAATAGAGTCCCGAGGGATTTGCCGTGGCCCGCAAAATTGCCCTGACATTCCCACTGCTGCTGAATTTTCCCTGCTACTCGCTCCATCAGAGATCTTTCAAAAGTCCACTCTGGCCAGCAGCGATGAAAAAGTGTGCACGTCCTTCTGTGTGTGTGTGAATCTGGAATTGGGCACCACACGTGCACATGTGTGGAAAGGGGTGGCCCTCAACTCTAAAGCCAGATTCACATCTGGTCTTTGGGTCCAAAGCAATTGTGCATCACTGATACACAAAAAAGATACCGTCACAGAAGCTATTTAGGGATGAATATAACATTCCTGTCCTATCCATGCACACAGGGATATGCAAATAAAAATGGGATTGAAGCATTTATCATGTTAGCGTCTATGGTGATGGGTCATTTACTTGTTCCTTTGCTTTGGGTGGTATTATAAATGAGTGAACTGGCCCAATCTGGTTGTTTTGTTGACCGGGAGACGGATGCTCCGGCAGGCAGGTGCTTGCTCCAAGAATGCGCAAGGACAGCTCCATTCATCCACCAGGATGTGGTTAAAGCTGATTGTACGTGGTTATGAAAGTATTGCCATGTGGTCTTCGCCTCCCCAGTCAGTGAGAAATCCCAGGGTGTGTTCTAGGGAATGCCTGGTGTTAGCAGCACCCCCTGCTCCACAGCTCAGCTCTCTCCTCTATTAGCAGGACCAAATGAAAGCGGAGATGCAGTGAATTTCAGTCAGAGCTACTTGTTGAAGTCTGTTTAATTCAACTTAGGGTAGAGATGGGCAGATCGTTCAATATTAGATTCTAATTTTTCCAATCTTAAATTCAGTTCATCTTGAACTTGGAGAACTTCAACCATTTAAGTTTGGTTTGTCCCAAACACCAAGATTCTCTCTTTTTACATTAACATCTATTTTCATTTTTTGCATACAATTTATCTCCAATTTGCATGAATTTTATTAATAATATGCATTTTTGAACATTATTTTCATGAACTTATGCATTTTGTGTGCATTTGTTTGGAGGACTCCATTGGGAAATTTGTAGAGGTTTGAATTCTGAAGACTAACCAAATTTCAGCTTATATGTTGGGACAAAAGTTTGACATTAAATGCATTTATATTAAAATTAGAACTGAAAGAATTTTCCCCATCTATAAGGTAGGGCAGATAATGAATTCCAGGGAACCCTCCTAAACTACAGCGTAATCAACGCCTCTGGCAGCTCCAAATACACCTAGACACATTCCCACACCCGAGATGTGTTCTTCATACCCCTGCCACAAATATTCTGCATGTTTCAAGGAAAAGAAGCCCTTCAAGAGTATGTGAAAGCTTTTATTGCACAATGAGCATCAATGCCCAAAGGAACAAGAATCCCCCCTCCAAAAAAAAACCCCTCTGACTTGACCTCTTCTTCTGCTGTTAGCAACAACTGGACAGGAAGCAAGTAAAGGAAGATAAAATATCCTGCAAAGAGAGGTTGTGCCTGCATTTGGGGAGCACATTATTCCCTCCCTTTGCCTTCTGCCCTGCAGTGGTGAAAGCGGCAGCAGCATTTTTGTTGGCCAGCTTTTTCTCCTCTTCCTGGAAGTCCTTCTATGCGAGATTAAGCCATCGGCTGCTGGCGTCCAGGGCTGGGCACCTGCCAAGGGACCTCACTCCCCAGGGGCCCCATTTTGGAATGCACTCCCCAAAGAGGCGCATCTGTCACCTTCTCTGTAATCTTTTCAGTGCCTGGTGGAGACCTTTTCATTTCCCCAGTATTTTAATAGTTAAACGTTTTAACTTTACTTTTGCAATGTTTTTACATTTTATTCTGTGCCATTGCTGTGCTTCCAGCAATTGCTGCTATGGTTTTATTCTTTTAAATTAATGTTTCTGTGTGTCTTCTAACATTTGCTTAATTTTAACTCTCGTTAACCAGCCAGACAGCCTCGACTACTGGGCAGTATAAAAATGAGGGTGCTCTAAGAAGAGAATAAATAAGGGCTAGGCAGCATACTAAAAAGCAGAGACATCACCCTGCCGACAAAAGTGCGTATAGTCAAGGCTATGGTTTTCCCAGTTGCAATATATGATGGCTGTGAAAGCTGGACCATAAGGAAGGCTGAGCGCCAAAGGATGGAGGCCTTTGAATTGTGGTGCTGGAGGAGACTCCTGCGAGTCCCTTGGACCGCAAGGCGATCAAACCGGTCAGTGCTAGAGGAGATCAACCCTGACTGCTCTTTCGAAGGCCAGATCCTGAAGATGAAACCCAAATACTTTGGCCACCTAATGAGAAGGAAGGACTCCCTGGAGAAGAGCCTGATGCTGGGAACAATAGATGGCAAAAGAAGAAGGGGACGGCAGAGGATGAGGTGGCTAGATGGAGTCACTGAAGCAGTCGGCGTGAGCTTGGGTGAACTCTGGGGGATGGTGGAGGACAGGAAGGCCTGGAGGAGTGTTGTCCATGGGGTTGCGATGGGTCAGACACGACTTCACGACTAACAACAACAACAATCTAAGAAGATTCCCCTGGGCTTCCCTTCCATCTAAGCTCTTGCTTTCCATCGCTGCAACCTGCTTTGCAGTGGCCCAGACCATGGTGGAGGAGAGGAAGAGGAGAGGTGGATGCCACTGAGCTGCCTGCCAGCCAAGGAAGCACGTCTCAGAAATGGAGAGGACGCAGAGCAGGCCCGGCTGGTGGCAACGCTGGTGGGGAAGGTGGACTCACTGAAGGAGCGAGCATTGAGAGTATCTGGCCTGGGTGATTGCAAAAATCTGGAGCCAGCCTTGCTCGTTAAAGGCTGTGGCAACTGCCAGCACAAAGATTTCTGTCCACCCCTCATAAAAGCCCCCCTGTCCTACAGAAGCTGTCAGCAACACATGGCTCGTGGGCTTATTTATTATTTATTTATTTATTTAGAGGTTTTTTATGCCGTCCCATCGCTTATAGCCTCGGGACTGCTCACATAAATAAATAAACATGGTACAAAATACAATGAAAATCCGGAAACACCCTGGCTGCACAATTAAAACCTACAGATATTAAATGTTATTAAAATATTTTTTAAATAAAAAGGTCTTAGTCTGGCGCCGAAAAACAAATAATGATGGCGCCAGGCGGACCTCTCTGGGGAGTGCATTCCACAGATGGGGCTCCACCGCAGAGAAAGCCCTCCTCCGGGTACTTTGCCTCCTGATGTCTCTCACGGAGGGATCCTGGAGGAGGGCCTCTGCCGCCGATCTCAAGGGGTGGGAGGGCAAATAAGGAAGCAGGCATTCCTTTAGGTATCCAGGTCCCAAGCCATTAAGGGCTTTGTAGGTGATAACCAGCACCTTGAATTGAGCCCAGACTTCGATGGGGAGCCAGTGAAGCTGGTAGAGGACTGGGGTTATGTGAGAGTAACACCCAGTCCCCGTCAGCAACCTGGCAGCTCTGTTTTGCACCATCTGAAGTATCCAGACTGTCTTCAAGGGCAGCGCATTACAGTAGTTCAATCGGGAAGTAACCAATGCATGTGTCACTGTCGCTAGGCAGTCGACCTCCAGGTAGGGACGCAGCTGATGGATTAGCCGAAGCTGAAGGAAAGCGCTCCTCGCCACAGCAGTCACTTGAGCTTCCAAAGAAAGCTCTGGGTTGAGGATCACTCCCAGGCTGCGGACCCTGTCCTTTAGAGGGAGTGCAACCCCATTCAGGACAAGGTCCAAGTCACCTACTCCGGAGCCCGACCCACCCACCAACAGGACCTCTGTCTTGTCTGGATTGAGCTTCAGTTTATTGGCCCTCATCCAGCCCATTACCTCAGCCAGGCACCAGTTCAGTACAGCCACTGCCTCACCTGAATTGGTTGAAAACGAGAGGTTGAGCTGGGTATCATCAGCATACTGATGATTCCGCAGCCCACACCTCCAGATGAACTCTCCCAGTGGTTTCATGTAGATGTTGAATAGCATGGGGTACAAAATGGATCCCTGCGGGACTCCATGGCATAGCTGCCATGGCGCAGAGCCATAGTCCCCCAGCACCACCTTCTGGAATCAGCCGTCAAGGTAGGAGCAGAACCACTGCAAAGCAGTGCCTCCAACTCCCAATCCCACTAGCCTATCCAGAAGGATACCATGGTTGATGGTATCGAAAGCTGCTGAGAGGTCCAGGAGAACCAACAGGGACGCACTCCCCCTATCTGTCTCCCTGCACAGGTCATCGTACAGGGCGACCAAGGCAGATTCAGTACCATACCCGGGTCTGAAGCCGGACTGAAATGGGTCCAGATTATCAGT